GGCTGCGAACCTTAAGGCCAGCAGTTCGAAACTACCAGCCGCTCTGCGGCAGAAAGATGAGGCTTTCTGCTCCCGTAAAGATTTACAGCCTCGGAAACCCTGTACAGTGTTGCTATGGGTCGGAACCGACTCGAAGGCACTTAACAACAACAACAACAACAATTGTATTTTTAGTATGACAATATTTGCTTCACAAGGTTGTTGTATGGGTTGTTGTTGTTAAGTGCCGTCGAGTCGATTCTCACCCATAGTGACCCTGTATAGGGTTTCCAAGGAGCAGCTGATGAGCTTGAACCACCGACCTTGCGGTTCAAACGACTTTGTAGTCTGACGCATTAGACCACAGCGCCACACCAGGACTCCGTTGTATGGGTAGAATGAGATAATAAGAGCTCAATACCTATTCTTAATAGTGATGATATTAATAACAGCATAATTGTTATGAGTTAAGTAAGCACAAAATATAGAGAAAAACACCTAACCCAGTTAGCAGTTGGAGTAAGGAAAGGATTGCAGAGGAGATAATCAAGTGTAAGTGTAGGAATCAGCTAGGTCAAGGAGGGATTGGATTAGAATTCCAGGGAACAGGTGCAAAAACATAAGAACATGGGCATTTCAGAAACTGTTAAAAAAAAAAAAAAAAAAAAAAACTAGCAGGGAAGGATGAGGCTGGAGAGGAAAACAGGTGAGTGCTATAAGAAAGCAATTTGATATTAATTAAATAATGTAATCATTCATTATTTTTAAGTGCCTTCAAAACGGTTCTGACCCATATCAACCCTCTTACAGGATTTCCAAGGAGTGGCTGGTGAGCTTGAACCATAGACCTTGCAGTTCAAAGCGACACTGCAGTCCAGCGCATTAATCCATAGTGCCACACCAGGACTGCATTCATTTATGTAATCTATGTTAAGTTCCTGCTAAGTACTTGGCACTTTGCTGTGTGGATAAAGCAGTGACCAGGATAGATAAAATCCCCTACCTTCACAGGCTTAGACTTTAGTGAGGAAGACAAAGAACAGTATTAGGGAGTGAAGCGAATATTTATTAAACAAATGAGTGTACAGGAGAAATGGACAGACTTGGAGATGAATTAGCTCTTGGGAGTGTAGGCAGGAGTGAAGGATGATTCAGGTTTCAGATCTGGGCACCTAACAGATGGTGGTAGGGGTGTGCCATAGAGTCGGTTCCAACTCAGAGCGACCCTGAAGAGGGTTTCAGAGTGTGTAATTCTTTATAGGAGCAGAAAGCCTTATCTTTCTCCCGTTGTATGACTAGTAGTTTCGAACTGTTGACCCTGAGGTTAACAGCCTGACTTGTAACCACTATAGCACTATTCAAAGAGTACCCTGAAGACACAGAAATGACAAGTTGTAGACAGGTTGAGTTTGTGGTGCTTGTCAGATAAAGGTCTTCCAGGGGCAAAGGGCCTAGACTGCAAAGTCAGTTTGAACCGCAAGGTTGGTGGTACAAGCTCACCAGCTGCTCCTTGGAAACCCTATGCAGGGTCACTATGGGTTGGAACCAACTCAACGGCACTTAACAACAACACCTAGAGCTAGATCCTCTTGAATTTCATTGTCGCTGATTTCATGGTCAGCAAAATGGAGGCCCAATGACCAAGGCAACTGACTGTGGGGTCCTATCACCAAAGGAAGCTTTACACAGTGGATAAGAAAGAAGCTCACTATCCTGGGAGTGTTACTGTCAGGATTATTTACAGTAGTCTTCTGCTGCTGCTCCATGACTTTAGCTTACCTGTCAGAACTTCATCAACTTCTAAGTCCACCCACGTACCCATTTCTGAAATTGCCAGAAACTCTGGCAGCTACCATAGGTGCTTTTTGTCCATGAGAAACCCGAGGTCTGGCTGAAAGTGGACTGTTACCCCTTTCAATGGTGTATTTTTCAGGGATTGGATTTAGTGCTAGGCACCTACGGGGGAAGCATAGTGATTTGCTAAGTTACTTGATGTGGTTCAGTGGTAACTTCTTGCCTTCCACTTGGGAGACCCAGGTTGGACTCCAGGCCAGTACACCTCAAATGAAGCTACCACCTGTCTGTCAGTGGAGGCCTGGGTGTTGCTATGATGCTGAATAGGTTTCAGTGGAGCTTCCAGACTTGGGCAAACTGATGATCTGCTTCTGAAAAATCAATCACTGATTGACCACTATGGACCACTATGGTCTGATCCCACTGTGTGTGGTGTCACCATGAGCTGGTGTGTTGATAGCAACTAACAACAGCAAGTTACTTGAAACACAAGTGTCATCATTCAGATCCCTGAAGCTTTGTCAAAGCCTGTCTTCTGGAGGCATGGCTGCCGAACCTCTGGAGAGGTCTAGATCGTCTTGCTGCTCTACTGTTTGTCATAAACTCCCTAAATCCTTTTTTTCCCTAACTGCAAGCAGAGGAGTTGGATTCCGACTTCTTTTTTGTCACACTAGGTTTTTGCTTTTCAAGGTCCATTTGTCATGGGTGGGGCCCAGATGCTCCAGGCCATTTTGGAACTTGCCTCAGCCACACACACAAGCTGAGACCAAATTCCTTCCTTCCTGGTTTGATGATGAATGGGGATTTCCTTTGCTCATCCTGAACACAGTATTCACTCATTAAATATTTATTGAGCAAGTATTTTTGTGCCAGAGAAAGAAAGTAAGTGGTGCAGTGATTAGGGCTCAGCTGCTCACTGAATAGGTGGCTGATTTAACCCACTAGTTACCCCATGGGAGAAAGATGAGGCAGTCTGCCTCTATAAAGACTCAGCAGCTTTGGAAACCTGATGGAGCAGTTCTACTCTATGCTATAGGGTCACTATGAATCAAAGTGAACTCTATGGCAATGGGTTTGGTTGAATTTGGTATGGTATGTGTCAGGCACTATTTAAGTGCTGGAGAATAGAACAATGAGCAAGACAGACCAAAATGTCTGCCTTCGTGGAACTTAGGTTCTAGTGTATGTTGAATAATGATAAGTGCTGAAAGAAATAATAAAGCAGACCTAGAAGGCCCAGAGTGGGTGGGAATGAGAAGGTGAGTTGTAAGTAAAGACCAGAAGCAAGGTCACTGCCCATTTTGGAGAACATTTGGAGTAGGGCACAACAGGGCATGTTGAGGCGCAACACGGACTAGCATGGGATGTAGTAGGGTCCAAACATAGGTCAGAGAGGTATATGGGAGCATGGAGATCACAGCGCAGACTTGGATTTTTCTAGAGTGAAATTCGCCCACCAGGAAGTCTTAGAAGCACTACCAGCCTTGGAGTCCCATGCCTCCAAGAGGGGCTGGGCTAGTAGAGTGCCACATGTGGGGCAACAAAATGCATGAGACAGAGGTGCCCGCCACACCCTTCTCTGATGCTGCTGCCACGGCTGGCTTAACCCTCCTGAAGCAGCCTACCTGACCTGCAGAACTATCGGGGTGAGAGCCCCTGCAGGGGAGAGATTCAATCTGAGCCAGCTTTCCATCTCCCCTAGATGCACGCTGAGTAAAAGGAGTTGAGTGAATGTCGCTTCTGTTTTCATCATCCATATCTGTTTTGTCACTGGCCTGGGGACCTCTGGAAGGCAAGTCCAGTCTCCTACCACCAGCTCCTGTCTCAAGGCCAGCACACAGTGGATGTGGAAATTCATTGCCTCTCAAGTGCTAGGCCCTGGCAGGACATTGAGGACGCTATACTGAGATGATGAGGATCCCATTGGGCCCTGGCCACAGGCTCAGAATGCATTTTCCCAATGAAGACCCAGGACCAATCCCAGCCCCAATCCACCGGAATTTAAGCCTGACAACTCACATCCTGGTTTATACCCAAGTAGGGGGCTTTTATTTACAGAAATGCTTGAGTGGAACTGGGGAAGGGGGTCAGTGGGTAGTGCCATAAAGAGAAGGGAGATGGGTGTTTAAATACTCAGGTGGGAGGTAGAGAGGAAGTAGTGGAGCAGGCCTGAAGATGGCTACCTCAGGGTAGACACCCATCAGCTGTCCTCTAGTAAGTCCAGGGGTCGGGACAGGGCCAGGAACTGGCAAAAACCTCAAGGACAAGATTGTTGGTGGGATGATGCCGATTAAGGAGACATTTGGTAACATCCGAGTGGTGTTCTGAGAAGGAAAGCCACCTTATTTTTCTCTTTGGTGCTTCAACTCTCAGTGACACATGCTCTGGCTTTTCACTCTGATGCCTTTCCTCCCTTTCCCCCATGCTTTCATGCTTTAGAATGTCCTTTTCCTAAAAACTCCTGGATTCTAGATAGAAGGTCCTAGGAAAACGAATTTCCTGGGCTGGAGGGTGGGGTGCACATCCACCCAGAGGGGACCTGGTTCTTTCTCTCCAGCATGCCCAGCAGGCTCTATCCCAGCCTGATGCTCATGGCCCTTTGATGGATCCTGGCTCCGTTAGGCGGGCAGAGGCGTAGGCTGAGGCTCCAAGGCAGGCTGCAGGCTCACAGAAGCCAGGCAGCCCCACAGGGCCTGGCAGGCCTGGGTGGCCCATCTCTCCTGGAGCCCCTGGGGATCCTCGATCTCCATCCTTGCCATTGATTGCCTGGCCAGCCCGGCCAGGGAGGCCTGTGTCAAGGGAGAAGGTCAAGATATCAGGGCCTCCTCCAGTCTCTGACTAGAATTCTTAAGTCTCATATTTCAGTTGGGGAAAATGAGACCAAGGACCCCATAGAAAGAAGGGACTGCCCCAGCCCTGAGAAGTTCTATGAGTCATGTATGATTATCCATTACTCCCAACTCAGTGAGCCCTGTGAGAAGAGGACCTTCCCTGTCCTCCATGAAGCAGACCCTGGTGCATCCCAGGAAGTTCTTAGAACCTTAAGGTTCATGGTACTCCAGAGAGATGAAAAGCTGGCTATGTAGGACTGAGCTGGCTGCCATGAAGGGACCCAGGTGTCCATGGGTCATCAGATCCCACAGCCAGAGGGCAGAATTGCAGCTGGGCAGGACCAAGGTCTTACCTGGGATCCCCGGGGGCCCAGGCATCCCAGGATGTCCACGTCCCATGTCTCCTCGATCACCTTTCTCTCCGCGTTTTCCTGCAGAGAAAGAAGGGTGCCTTGATTTTTCATAATTGGAAGATGGCTTTCCTACTTTGCGATTTAATTTCTGTTTCACACACAAAACAATTATCCCTGTCTTATGCAGATTAAAGCACTCAGCTGCTAACCAAAAGGTCAGTGATTTGAACTCACCTTGGGAGAAAGATGTGGCAATCTGCTTCTATAAAACTTCTCAGCCTTGGGAACGCTATGGGCAATTCTACTCTGTCCTATGGGGTCACTGTGAGTCAAAGCACTGGGTTTGCTTAGGGGTTTTGTGCTATTTTACAATAGAGAAGCTAGAAATGGCTATGTAGGACCAGTTAAATACATAAAGTCCAAGACATTGGACAGAAGATTGCAGTTGTTAAAGGTTGTTACAGGAGTGTCTAATAATAACGCCAGTCCCAACCAGTTGCCATGAAATCAATTCTGATTCATGGTGACCATGTGTATCAGAGTGGAACTGTGCTCCATAGAACGGCTAACTTTCTGGAAGTAGACTAGCAGGCCTTTCTTCTGAGGTTTCCCTGGGAAAGCGTGAACCTCCAACTTTAACATTATCAGCCATGTGCATTAAATGTTAGCACAACCGGGACCCCAAATAATAATTGATGTTTTCAGGTGTCATCGAGTTTGTTTTGACTCCTGGCAACCTGATACACAACAGGATGGAACGCACTTGGTTCTGCACCATCCTCACAATCAGTTATGTTTGAGCCCAGTGATGCAGCTACTATATCAATCCATCTTGTTGAGGGTCTTCCTCTTTTTTTGTTGACCCTTAGCTTTACCAAGCACGATGGCCTTTTCCAGGGACTGATTCCTCCTGACTGTATGTCCAAACTGTGCGAGATGAAGTCTTGCTATCCTCATGGAGCATTCTGGCTGCATTTTCTTCCAAGACAGATGTGTTTGTTCTTCTGGTAGTCCAAATAATAATAGCTAACATTTATTATGTGCCAAGTAGTGAACCAGGAACTTTATGGAAATAACCTCTAAATAGAATCCCCAATATGATGCTATTAATATCCCTACTTTACAGATGATAAATCTAAGGAGATTCAGAGGCAACTTGTCCAAGGTCCACAATGGGAAACTGGTAGGTCTGGGACTCCAGAGCTTTTCCTCTTCACTACTTAGCTAACCTGCCTCCTCTCCGCTAGAACATGGAAAGATGTTTATGAGGTAACATTAAGTCAAAAAGCCAAAAAAAAACAACAACCCAAACCTATGTTAGAAAATACTCTGCTACTTAACAAGAAAGCCTAAGAGTAGTTCATGAAAAAGCTGGTTGAGGGGAAATGGGGGTAAAGTGTCTTGTGTGTCTTCCTGGGATACAGTCGCCAGCCTGAAGCCACAGAAGCCTTTGGCCAATCCCCACAGCCCAGCTCCCTCTACACCGCAGAACAGCATACTCACCCTTGGGCCCGGTGTTGCCAATCTGACCCACGGCTCCTACAATGCCAGGGATTCCCCGAGGGCCAGGATGCCCATGAGGTCCCTGATTGCCTGGGTACCCAGGAGGCCCTGGGGGCCCTGGGGGCCCCATCATTCCCGTTGCACCCAGGGCTTCCCGCTTGGCACTCACAGCTACCTCTGCCAGTTGCTCTGGAAAGGAGGGGGTTAGAGAGTTCTGTGAGATGTTAAACTGAGAGAGGCAGAGCATCTTCACAGCCCCTGCCCCCGCAGAAAGCTCATGCAAGCTTCCCCTTCCTCAGGCTCTGTTTCACTGAAGTCAGAGGTCCAGAGAGGGCTGGGATTTATTCAAGGTCCCCTAGCCACTTGGAGGCAGAGCTGGGAGGAACACCCAGGGCTCTTGACACTCTGGTCAGGGAACAAGGCCACAGGGAGGGGCTCCTGAAGATGGAGATGCCCTGAAATTGGCTGTGGGGTGGGATAAGGGCACCTTGCAGCATCTTCAGTACCACGTCCACGATGTGCTGGTCACTGGCATCTCGACCCTGAGAGCAGAGGGGTCTTTCAGCAAGAAAGCAAGCCCTGAGCTGCCTGCCAGGGCTAACCACTCCTGCATCCTGTGAGCCTCTCCTGCTCCCATCAGAGAGCAGGGTCCTCACAGGAAGTACTTGTCAGTATCCCTCCTGCTGCACCCAGACCTTCATCTCTGATCAGGGCCTTGGAATCAAGCTCAGAGAAGCCCGCCCGCCCATTTCAGGGACTTCCTAGTCTTTGGGGAATAAACAGCACCCCTAAAGACATTTTCTAAGTAGGAGAATCCCCCTTCCCAGGGGTCAACTCACCGCCACGCCCTGTCTCCCAGGAAGTCCAGGCACGCCTCTGTCACCAGCCAGTCCTCGAGGGCCAGGGAGCCCCGGGTAGCCCTGCACCCCTGGGGCACCTGCATCCCCACTGGGCCCAGGATAGCCTGGTTCTCCACGGACTCCTTGCTGCCCGGGCAGAGGGAAGAGGGGTACTCAGGTATGGGGTGCAGGGTGGAAGAAGCAGGGAGATGTAGCTGTGATGCCAGGAGAGGAGGGGATCCCAGGGCAGGGCCGAGGGAAGGGGAGGGCTACTACCGAAGGGCAGGACTCACCTGTCCCTTGGGTCCCGGCTCGCCAGACTCCCCCTGTAGACAAAGTAACCACAGTCACAAAGTGATGGCCAGGGTCGCCCCTCCCCCCCCCACCGTTGCTCCCCAGCCCACCTCAACGTAGCCCACCCACCTTCTCGCCTTTCTCTCCTGGGAGGCCGGCTACACCTGGATCACCCTGCCAGGAGAGAACAGGTTAGTGCAGCTTGTTGGGGACATGGAGAGTTGACAGCATGGGACAGAGGAAGTGCTGTACTCACCACTCCACCGCGGGGGCCAGTCTTCCCGGGAGAGCCCTGCAGAAAAGGGGAGTTAAGGGTATGGGGTCCCCCACCCTACCCCAGGCATCCCCACCTGACCAGAGCCCTGGGTCCCCTAGAGGGTAAATTGTTTCATGAAGATTTGGAACTTCTCAAGAAGGGGCTAACTGAGCTCTAGACTCCCCTCCTCCAGCTCTGAGTCTGAGAGGTTCTTTCAGGCCCCATTTGATACCTTATCTCCCTTGATGCCTGGTAAGCCTTGGGGCCCTGGAATTCCAGGTGATCCCTGCTCTCCTTTTGGGCCCTGAGGAGAAATCAGAGGAATAAATCAAAAGAGGCACCCAGATATGATGATCCCTACTCCACCCCTACTTCAGTAGGCCTCAGCTCACCGGCCGACCTTGAGGACCTGGCTGCCCCACTGGCCCCCTTTCACCCTGGTCACCCTGAAATGGAAAGAAAGAGTCATGGACAGGCAATCAGCAGGGGCGGCCAGGCCCTGGACGCTGTGTAGTCGGGCTGCCCTCCACTCCTGCCATCACTAGCATAAAGGTCTTTGACTCCATTTCACAGACCAACAAAGTGAGACACAGGCTAAGGAGGTCTCACATGGACTAGGAGGGAATGAGCAGGTGCTGGAGCCAGGGAGAAGATCCAGATCTTGGATTCAGCAGTGCCAGTTGCTGCAAAGTACCCCAGGGAAGGACCACTGTGCCAGGCACTTACCTTCTGCCCCATGATGCCTTGGGGACCAATTTCTCCTCGAGGCCCTGGCTCTCCCTGGGGGACAAAGAAAGTGGAGTAAACACTAGTCCTGTCAGGACCCTACCTTGAACACCTGGTTAGCCTTAATTCCCATGTTCTATATTCTCAGGTCCCTGTCTTTTCCTTCAAGAACTCAAAACAATTTTAATGAGTTGTCATGTGATCATTTATTTAACGTCTGTCTCTTTCACTGAAGTGTACACTCCATGTGAACAGGAGACTATGTCTATCTCGGTATCTAACACAGTTGTAGGTGTTTGGTGAATGCTTATAGAATGAATAAATGAATGACTGTTGGATTCTCAGCCCCAATCAGCTTGGCCATTTGGGGACGCCATACCCGGATAGAACCAGCTCCACCCTCATGACACTATACACAGGAAAACTGGGGAGGGGGAAGCTCAGAGAGGAGAAGGGAGTATTGCTTGGCTAATGGGTCAGTGCAGAGTCCAGACTAGGACACCTAGGACACCTCCCAAGCTAGGACACTACCCCCTGACCTTACCCTGACCATGTGCTGAGAGAACCATTCAGGGTCCTCAGGCATGGGATGGCCAAAGCAAGAGCCCTGTGTCAGTGGAGTGGGCAGTCACTTACCTCCTTCCCAGGGGGACCAGAGAATCCCGGGAGGCCCTGCTGGCCTGGCGCACCCTATAGGAAAACATAGTTCTAAGGTGGGTCTGGGTCGCACAGTCAGGCCTGTGGCCTTGGGGAAGTCCAGTGTACCCTAAACAGACTCGACCAACTGAATCAGGGAGAAGGTGTTCTTGGTTGTGGTCTCTGGACTCTACTGAATTTCTATACCATTTGGTCTCCACTGAGGTGGGCTAGCAGAGGGGTAGGGGCTATTTAGACCCAAGAGGCAGTCTCCAGGTTGAATAACTGAGCATTGCATGAGGCCTGGGGCTTTCAGTCTTTAAGTCATGGCCCTGATTCCTGTCTGTCTCTAGGCTCCCTTGCTCAAATGGGACCAATTCTGCCCCCAATTTGGGGTCACCTCACCTTGTCTCCAGGGCCCCCTTTAGTTCCAGGCTGGCCTGGCACACCCTGCAGAAAGAAACTGACATCAGTTCCTGTCCCAGCACGAGGCCCCTGTACACTGGCTGCTTTGTCTCCCACCCCTAATTGCCATTTCCCCACCTTGGAGCAAATAAAGAAGGCTAAGTTATGGCATCATAAAGTTGACTATGCCCTCCACCCCTGACTTCCTGAGCCCAAGTGGGAGAGAAGTAGCATAAAGAGAGGCCTGCCTATCAGAGCCTGTGGTCCACAGGGAGAAGATGAGTACATGTATGTGCTCCCAGGCACACAGGTTCATACATGCACATGTAAGTGCCTCCAGGAACACAGTCTGTACATGAGCATATAAGTAAACTTCAGCCATTCAGTATTCCTGGCAAGGAGGGCAAGAGGACCCCCACGCTAGGTTCTTAGAAGGTATAGGATGGAGGTATGTCTGAAAGGTGAAAAGGCAGAGATAGGAAAGCCGTTTGAATCTGAGAGACCAGCAAAAACAAAAGCCTAGAGGGAGAAAAGCCACAGCACTTTGGGGGACGTGTGGAGAAGAGAGAAGACTTAGAAGGGCAGTTGCTGATGAAGCAGGAAGAGAAGGTTGGAGTCAGAATTGATAGTTCTTGAATACCAAGGTGAGCTGTAAGAACAGAGTGCATATTTTTCCTATCACTTAATGTGCCTCAGGTACTCAAGAACTATTTACCCAATGACGAGACTGAATGACTTTTCTGGAGGCACTGACTGGTGAGCTAAAGAAGATGCTTTAGCAGAGAAATGATCAGTTTCTACTTAGGCAGCATGAAAGATTGGAATAGTTAAATCAACTGTCCAAAGGATGAGATTTAAACCAGGTTGAAATGTTAACCTCATCAGCCGCTCATGCCATAGTAGGGAGTTGAACAGGAATGCCTGAGCCCTTTGAGGCCAGAGAGAGCAACTCACCTGTGGGGCAGGACCTGTGGCTTCATCAAATACTCACCGCTAGACCCTGGTGACCTGGGTTTCCTGGCCGTCCAGCCAGTCCTGCACTGCCCTGGAGAGATAAAGAGCCAGAGGCCCCAATTACAGCTCCAACCAGAGGACCTATGGCTTTCACCCATGTGCAAATAGGAAACTGAGGCCGGTTTGACACTCCTGAGGATCCCAGGCTCCTAGGCCTATAGGAGCAGGATGATGAGGTTCAGGGTCCTGATTGAGTGGGGGGTGTCTTGACCTTTACCCCAATTCCACCAGTAGCCCCACTCCTACCTTCATGCCAGGCATGCCGGGGGTCCCATCCTTGCCATCAATGCCCGGTGGACCCTGCTCAGGAGACAAGATTAGGGGACCTCACAATGGGAATATCCTGGGGTCAGTCACCCACTCATGTGATAGTAAGTCTGCTCATCTTGGGAAAGCCTACCAGTCAACTGGGTGAGGGGAGCTGAAGTAGAAGTGGGATGTTAGGGATGAACCCTGTGTTGGTGATAAATTTCCCAGATTGCTGCAAGCTTCCATCCCCATACACCATCACCCCTGTTTCACAGAGAGCAAAAGGCATGTCCTGAGGTCACAGAGCCAACCTGCCTGCAACAGATTCCCAGGCTCCCCTAAGAGGAGGTGTGAACAAAGCTGACTGCACTCTGCTCTGCCCTCTGTGGTACTACTGTAGGATAAGTACTGGACTGCTAAACGAGAGGTCAGTGGTTCAAACCCACCAGCGGCTCCTCAGAAAGCTTATAGAACATCACTGAGTCAGAACCGACTCAATGGCACTTAACACCAACAGCCCTCTGTCATGTGGGCCTGGGCCTCATACTTACAGTTGCTCCTTTAGGGCCTGTTATTCCCTGAGTTCCTTGCACACCTTGGCTGCCCTGCAAAATAGATAGAGATCAGGTCCCTTCCACACACGGAGCCCCTGCTGGCTGTTCAGAGAGGTGGAGAACTAAATAGTGATCTCTGGGTTTCAGGGTCCTACTGCACAGGCCACACTGTGCAGGGCCTGGAGAGGGGCCCACGAAAGTCCTTTCTGCCCGGGAATCAGGAGAAGAGAGTAGAGGTCAATTGGGCTGGGGCCGGGGTAGGGATGGAAGCCAGCATTCTCTGGGACCCTGGCCAATGCCCTAAATGCCACTCATGTCAGGAGACACAACAACCCACTATGATGTGTGAACGTTGTTTGGGTCTTGATTTGAGCAAGAACTGTAAAAAGATATATATTTTTTGAGATAATTGGGGGAATAAATAAACCCAAACTTGTGTTTGTTGTTTTTGCTGCCACGGAGTCGATTTGAACTCATAGTAGCCCCACGTTACAGAGGAGACGTGCTCTAGGGGTTTTCTTGACTGTTCTCTGTATGAAAGCAGATTAACAGGTCTTTCTCCCCAGGAGCTGCTGGGCGACTCTGAACCACCAACCTTTTGGTTAGCAGCAGAATGCTTAACTGTTTGAGACAATAGGGCTCCTGACTGGTTGGTAATTAGATGAAGATAAGAAGAAATAATTGTTAATTTTATTAGGTATAATAATGATATTGTGATTATGTAAGAAAAAGGCCTTGTTTTTTAGAGATACATTGAGAAGTACCTCAGGGTAAAATGACATGACATTAAGGATTTGTTTAAAAGATGTGAGCAAAACAGTAACAACAAAATGAAGGCAGGAAGGGATGGAAGAAGCCAGCATGGTGGACTGTTACTACTGGAATCTAGGAGACAGGCAGGTGAGGATTCATTACCTACTAGCAGTTGTCAGGAGGGAGCAATCTTTAGAGAAGGACATGATGCTTAGTAAACTAGAGGGTCAGCCAAAAAGAGGAAGACCCCCAAAAAGATGGGATCCAGACTAAATCCCATTAACCTTATGAATGATTTGCTGGAATCTCATTGTCTGGTTCCAGTGACCGTGGGACAAGATCCCATGGCCTTTCCCAAAGTCTGAATTTGGCCAGCAATTGGATGAACATGGAGGAACAAGGGGTATCGGGGCTGATGGGGCTGAATGAGCAGGCTGAGCATTTGGCATAGACACTCCTCCCTGGTAGTGTTCCCTGATGCACAGACACAGAGAGTCTCTCTCCTCTCTCTCTCAATCTCTCTCTCTCTCTTTCTCACTCTCTCTCTCTCTCTCTCTCACACACACACACACACACACACACACACACACACACACACACACACGAAGGATCTGCTTTGTGAGGAGCTGAGTCCTTCCCAGTCCTCTCCTGGGGCCCTGACTGGACATGGAGTGGCTCAGGACTCACCACATCTCCCTTCTCTCCTGCTCGGCCTGGGGGCCCCCGTGGCCCTTCCTCACCCTGGCAAGGACAGACAAAAATCCAGGTTATGTGGCTCAGAGAGAGCTGCACTCACTTTGCAATTCCAGGACCCCAGACTGGAGGAGGTGGGGAGGGTGGTGGTGGTGGACTGGGCAGGAGCAGACTTACCGGGGACCCAGCAGAACCAACGGAGCCCACCATGCCTTTGTACCCCTGAGGACCCTGGGGAGAGGAGAGGGTTGCAGGTCAGTCCTAACTGGACCCCAGTAGTCAAGTGACCTCTAACCCCAGATGAATGATAAGTGACCCCAGAGGTCATGGCAGCTCTTTCAGGATATCCCCAGACTTACCGTCTCTCCCTTAGATCCCTCCATGCCCGGGTAGCCCCTGATGCCCTGGGGACCCTGTCAAGACAGAAAAGTGACAGTCATGGTGATTAGAAGACCCACTCATGGTGACCCACTCATGGTATTTCTCTGACACACCTCCCCTCCTTCCTCCATCTTCACAATGCCCCTGTGAAGCAGGCAGCAGTGTCCCTATACACACATGAGACACTGAGGCTCAGAGCTGGGATGGGACTTACCACGTTCCTCAACTGGGTCTTCTGACAGCCTGGGTCCTGTCCCCTCATTTCTGACATTCAGCCCCTCTCCCCACCCAGAGACACTCCCAACTGGGCAAGTGAATGCATCCAGAAGGACACTCCGGAAGACAGAGAGGAGGGCCTCAGTGGGGAGGTGGTCCTTACCGGCGGTCCAGGAATGCCTTGCTCTCCAGAGGCACCCACATCTCCCTTGGGACCCTAAGGGACAGCAATGAGCTGTCAGAGAGGCAGGTGAATGGACAGACAGATATACAGACAGCCAAGATACCATCCTCTTTCCCCACCAAAAGTATCCTAGGAACCACACAGTCTCATGTTACAGATGGGGAAACTGAGGCTCAGCAAGGAGAAACGACTTTCTTGGCACAATGACCTGGAACGTAGACTCCTGCCTCCCTGTTCAAGGCTCTGTCTCCAGTGGCCCACAGGGAAAGGCAGAAGAACAAAGGAGGGGGAGACTCTTGTAGGACCTTCTCCACATACCCTCCCTCCCATAGCCTTCTGCTGAACACTCACTGGCTTCCCCTGATGGCCAGGATCTCCCAGAGCCCCACGCTTGCCTGGATGCCCCTGAAGGGAAGGAGAGAAAACAGGGTGAGGCCCACTCCCAGTCACCTGCTCCACCTTCCCAAGTCTCAGGCCATGAGTGCTCACCTTCACTCCCTGTAGCCCTTGGGGACCTTTCACACCCGCAGGACAGTTGGTTGGACACTGAAAAGAAAATCCCACAGGTCTAGTCACTGGTCAGCCCCAAGAAGGAAGGGCAGTACTCTCAGAACAACTTCCTGCCAACTCCTGAACTCTCCTCCACCCCACTTGGCTGAACCCATCCTGCTGACCCTATCTCCAACTGACCCACCCTTCCCCTACATTAATCCCACCCCAGGCCCTGTCTCTTACCAGGAAATCTGCGCTGCCTTCGAGGCCATTGACGGTTCCTGGGCGGCCCTGAGTGGAGATGTAAGTGGATGGAGCCTGATGTTACCCTTCCCCACTCAGGTTTATGCCAAAGATCCTTCTTCCTCAGGACTGAGGACACTTACCGGTTTCCCAGGGGGTCCCGGAGGTCCGGCTGGTCCCTCTGGTCCAGGATCACCCTGGAAACAGGAAGGACCAAAATCATATCCCCTTCTAGCCCTCAAGGTCAGTTCTGCCCCCTGCTCCCATTCCTGCCACTGCCCAGCCCTCCTGACAGTTGAAATCTTGTAGAAATCCAGGGCTGATTGGCAGGGCATGGTTCCAGTCCTTGGTCTCCCTGAAAGGCCTACTGCAGAGTAAGTTACCAGGTAGGGCTTCTGTTTCAGACATGGGGGAGCTCCCTGGTGGCCTAGGAATTCCCTGGAGTGAGAGTACCTCAGCTAGCCAGCTTGGAGGTGGGGACAAAGTAGTATGAGCAGAGACATAGTTGGGACTCACTTTGGGGCCTGGGATTCCAATCTCACCAGGGAGGCCAACAGGTCCAACTGGTCCCTAGGGAGGAGCAAAGACACTGATGACTGGGATGTCACACTAGACCTGAAGGAATGGGCAGCAAAGAGCACCAAAGTCCCCTTCTCCACTTTTATTTTGTGACCAACCCCCCGAGAGACTGGCTGATTTGGGCTTTAAGAACCGGAGAGTTCGAGACCATAGATAGGCCCAGGGTAGGCTGGATGAGGATGTCTGACAAATCTGCTCATCCCCCACAGAATCACAATATGCTGCTAGCCCCGAAAGATATTCTGTCCCCTCCTTCCCTGGAACCCTGTCCCATCCCTGAGGACTCACAGGAGGTCCAGCGAAGCCAGGGCCCTGTAACAGAAAGAAGGGAAGGGTTCACAGCTTCCCCTCAGACTGTCCCCTTCCCACAAAGGGTCCCTCAAAGTCCTTGAGAGGTATACTTACTGGAAGGCCAGGGGGACCTGGGAGACCAGGCTGGCCCTGCAGGAACAATGGAAGGGGTTCAGAAGGTGGGTCCCTGCTCCTCTTCATTGAAGCCCCTCCTGATCTTTGGTCCTAGACTGACCATGCTGAAGCCCAGCTGACTACTTATTTACCTTGACTCCGGGGATTCCCAGGGGACCAGGCTCCCCCTTGGCTCCGGTTAAACCCTGTGAAAAGAGTAGATAGGATCAATGAGGGGCATACCTGCTCTCTGGTAGGACACACTCACCACAGGCCCATGGGCCTTTCCTAGGTGGGCCTAGTCCCCCTTTTTCTACACTCCATCCTCAACACCACCCCTTCCCTTCCCCCAGATCCCACAGGGAGGCAGGACAAGCTTATCATTTTCTGAAAGATGAGAAACCAAGGTCAGAAACTTGCCATAGCCCAGGCCTCATGTCTCCCAGTTTCAGAGTCCTTGACATAGATCAGCCTGCCCTTGGCAGCGTTTTCTGACTATTAGTTTTCTCATCTGCAAAATGGGCTAATCAGGCTTACCTTTCTGAATAGATGCTAGAACCACTGTGCTAGTTTGTAGGAAGCAATCAATACGCTTTGTAAACTTTGCAGAGTGTGGGTGAGTCACCACCCCAGTCTCACCTCCTGAATCAACATGGCTGAGGCAACTCACGGAGGCCTCTACTTCTGGCCAGTTTTCACTGATTGACCCCCGTGTAGCCCCCAATCAGATGGGGGTCCCAGTGCCCTGGGACAGGCTGTATCCAAGAGCCTGTGACCTTGGGGGACCCTGGGAGACCTGTGAGATCTTACGCTTAGTGATATTTCTCTCTTGGGTTGTTCCTGAGATGAGAGATGGGGGTACAAGAGGGTGGTAGGAGATGAGGGAGACCCTGGGAATGGGCACAGGGGCAGCCCCACCCAGAGTATTCAGTCAGATGCTTGGAGGCCAGAAATGTGAGCTTGAGTCCTGCTCACACAGGACAATCCTGCACCCTACAGAAACCAAAGACCGCCCTCTTGACCTTCATTTGCATGTGGCTCAATGCTTCTGGTGTATGTGTAAGGTTCTGGGGAGGTCACAGGTCCTATGAAGGTGAAGGAGGCTCACAGCTAAGGGTCTGAGGATTCTCCATGCTGCTGACCAGCTCTGAACTGATCAGTGAAGATGCCAGTACCCAAAGATCCCATACCCCAGGCACTGAAAGTCAGTGAGTGGTCCTCTATCTAACCTGCCCTTCCAACACTCCAGTACTCACGTCAATCCCAGGTTTCCCATCTGGCCCATCTGGTCCTGGTTTGCCAGGCTCCCCTTTAGGTCCCTTGAAAACAGGTGGAACAAACATTAAAGGAGGACAAGAATGGAAGGATTAAAGGTCAGTGTAGGGGGGGTTGTGGAGGGAGGAGGGAAAAGCACTCACCAGAAGGCCAGGTTTTCCAGGAGGCCCTTTGTCTCCCTGCAAGATAAGAGTTGGTGAAACAACATTCTACACCTCATGCTACCCCAAGTGGGCACACAAAGGCCCTGGCTGTCCAGTTTCAAATGTTTCTCTTCTCACTCTGTTCTCTATTCTGTCCTGGGCTCCTTCAACCTTACACTTTTTAGGAAAATATTCCCCTTCTCCTAAAAAAGTAATCATAGGTAGATTGAGACTAACCCCAGCCAGGCAGAACAATGTGGAATCAACATTCAAGTGGGTTTTAGACAACTGATGTTGGTAAGATATAGTTAGGGCACTTGCAAATGGGTCTGTGGGCTCCAAGTTACCCTCAGGAGTTGGGGCCTCTTGGATTTGGGCAAGTGTGGGAAAAGCCTGTGGTTTTCTGAGGAATTCGGAGAGGTGGCAAGTTAGGACTGTGGCTCTATTCTGGATTGTGGATCAGAAAAACAAGGGGCTGGGGCAGGGTTCAAGGACTAAGGGGCTTTGGCCCTGTGAGGGAGTTTGGAATTTGGGGACCCATGATGGAGCTTGGGGACTTGCGAGAGGACATGGAGTTTGGGGGCAGATTCAATCTGCTCCCAATGCAGGAAGAACATCTTCCCCCTGTGACAAAAGACCTTAGTGGAGTGCAGGCAGAGCTGTGGAGTCAGATGTAGCCCCCAAGAGGCCTCTAGGCATTTCAGAGCCTGAGGCAGCCAGAAAGTCTGGCCTGAGCCCAGCCCCAGCATCCTGTGTTGGGGGGTTGGGGGCACTAGGTTGAATAGAAGTCTGTCTGGTCTGGTAAACATCGAGTTTACCTCCTGTGGACGTCTTCAGAATGAGGTATTAACCCTCACCATGCTATGGAGAGCAGATTATAGCCTCAACTGTTTCTAAATCGGGAAGAAAAAAGCCAAGGGAAGAGACAAGAGTCTGACCCCAGCTGATCGGCCTTCTGGCCAAGGTTCCCAAGCTCCCTAAGGAAGCGTCCAAGCATGCTAGGGACTGGAATAAGGATTAAGGCGTCTCTACCTCCAATACACGGGAGGGAGAGGAAGAGAGGGGTATATGGATACTCGGAGAGCTGTGGCCAGCAGGCGGAACAGCAGCTCCTTGTCCGCAGGCTGCTGTAACAGACTCCTATTAGGCAGCTCAAGGATGGTTTGAGGTTTTTGCTGAACAAACGGGTTCCTTGTAGTGCGGGCAGGCGCCGCCTATTGGCGACAAGGGGTATTGCGCCTCCAGTCCCCAAGTCTTCATACCCATCCCCGTCTCCCCACCCCCACCCCGTGGCTCACAAAGCTGCTCTTTGTAGGCGGCCTCCCTCCCCCTCCCATCAGACTCACGTCGATGCCGTCTGATCCAGGCACTCCCGGCGGTCCCGGGGGTCCGGGGGGTCCTGGTTCTCCGGGCGGACCTCTCTGAAAACATACACAGGGTGATTCCTCAAACAACGCAACAACAGGGTAGTTGCTGCAAGCAACCCACGAGCAGGATTCCAGGGGTGCAGCTTCCCCAGATAGAACTCGGCAGGGAGCTGTAGGATAAGCACTCGACTGCTAACTGCCAAGGTAGGCGTTTCAAACCCACGGGCCCATCCTCAGAAACCCTTAAATACTACTGTGTACCAGGTACTGTTGAGGAACCAGGCTCAGAAATATTAAAGGGCCCACACAGGAGCCCAGTTGGCTCTTTGTAGGCAGCCTTCCTCTCCCTCCCATCAGGCTCCCGTCCTGCTAACCACAAAGTCGGTGGTTCAAACCCACCAGCTGCTTCCTTATAGAAATATGAGGTTGTCTGCTCACGTAACAATTTACTCTTGTAAACCCTATATGGAATCACTGTGACTCAGAATAGATTTGGTTTGGGTTTATGGTCTTAGAAACGTTGGAGGTTCTGTTCCACTCAGAGGCACTTTGGAAGAAAGGATTGGCATCTACTTCTGAAAAACCAGCCGTTGAATGTCCTGTGGAGCACAGTTTTACTCTGACACACACAGGGTGGCCATGAGTCTGCCAGAGGCTGGCAAGTGAAACGAGAAATGGTCACAGAGAGTAAATGATGGAGCCAGTATTCCGTCCTAGGTGGGACTACTATTTTCAGTGTACGGTGTTGCCCCTTTTGCTGTTGTGGTGGGAATAGATGGAGATGTTCTTTCAAATTAATCACAGATGGTACGGAGGGTGGTGCCTAGTATCATCAGCGAATGTAGTCCTTATTACCACTTTTAAATGAAGCAGAGGTAGATACGGTGAGTAGCCACCTCTCCCATCCCTTCCTGCCCTCTTCCACCAAGTGGGGCGGACACCCGTGCTGTTTTCCCAGCCTGTGCGCCCCTCCACAGCACCCCCATCCTCCCCGATTTAGTCAAAGGTTCTGCGCTCTTCTCAGGCCGGGAAGTGCCAGACTGGCGACCCGAAGGCAAGCTGCCACCCGCATACAGTCCCAAACAGAGCGGGACCCGGTTCTTCCAGTACGCTCGCGTCTGGTTAGTCCTCGAAAGTCAGATACCCGCGCGCGAAGCCGTCACCCGCGACCTGGAGCGGGCTCGGCGTCTGGCTGGAGCCGGCGGGGGCGGAGGCTTGGGAGCCCCGTGAATGGGTACCATTGTCTCCCCCGCCACCTGGGGATCTCTTGGCTGCCAGGACCGGACGCCAACCCCTGTCCCATGCGGCCTGTCCCAAGCCAGGCCGAGCATCTCCGGGCAGGGTACCCCCTGGTTCTCCGGCTCACCCAATACCTTCTCGGAGCCCGGGCATGCACCATAGATTCCCCACAGAGGAGACCTGCGAGGTGGGATTATCCCAAGCTACCCACTTGGTTTAAGAGGTGTCAGTAGAGAGTGGGAGACAGGCAGAGCCCTTCACCTAACTCCTGGGTCCTGGGCTCCGGACCCCAGACTTGCACCCTGGACGTCGGCTGAGGGGGTGGTCCCTGGACTTACAATCTGTGCCATGGCGAGTCCGAGCACCTGGAGGAGAACCAGGAGGCTGTGGGGGGTGGCCGCAGCGGCCATTGCGGGTCCGAGGGAGGGCGGCCGCCGGTCCACTCTCGCACCGACGGGTAGAGGCTGCGGCGCTGGCTTCTTTCGGACACTGAGGGCCAGGCCTCCCGAATATGCCGCGGGGCGGGGCGGGCTAGGGGCTGGCGGGCCTGTCACCTGAGATGGCCAGAGGGAGGGGGAGGCCGGCGCCCTCCGCCCAGCTCCGCCCACCCTCCATCCTCTCTCTCTTCTTTCCCGAATCACGGTGTGTAGATCTCTGAGGGGCACTAGAGGTCCAGGACAGAAACCTTCATTCCATTTCTTTGAGAGAAGGCAGAGTAGATCAGGGTTCCCCTCTAAGCCTGACTTCCAGGACACATCAAGTATACCTCGGGCCTGTAAGTTCCTACCGGGATCAGTCCTGGGCCCACTCAGAGCAGTTCTTGGATTCTGCAGACCTTGTAGGAGGGTGTGCTCAGTGGCCATTCACCTGCTCACCTTACCATAGGCTCCTTCCTTTCTACACATCAACACACTAAGGCCTCAACCATATTAAAACATATCAAAGCCCTTCCTGGATGGAAGGTATTCTGAACACCCTGCCCTACTCTCCCTTCGCTGCCGGACGCTTTACGGTAGATGTCTGCACTCCACCTCTAAACTTCCTCATCTCCCTGCTTCGGTTCCAGTTGGGAGATCTGTCACCAGTCCTCCTGACAGTCCCTCTTCGAAGTTGCCTTCTGCCATCTGGCCCATCTCTTTCTTCTGTTGCCCTTTTTTTCTCTGCTGCTCCTTACTCATTCTTCTTGCTTAGCTTCTCTGAGTGAAGCGATTTCCTCTATGTTCAGAGCAGCAACCACCACCTTACTCACCAGGGTTTTCCAAACCTACCTGTCTGTCCAGGCTAGTTTCTCTCCATGGTCGTTTGCCTGTCCTTTCATTCACTCAAGCAATATTGGTAAAGTATTTCGAAATCTGACTTTGACAAAAAAATCAAAACTAAACCCATTGTGGTAGAATCTATTCTGACTCACAGAGATCCTACAGGACAGTATAGAATAGCATCACAGGATTTCTAAGGGTGCAATCTTTATGGAAGCAGATTATCACATCTTTGTCTCTTGGAGTTGCTGGTGGGTTCGAACTGCTGACCTTTCCATTAGCAGACAGGTGCTTTAGCCATTGCACCACCAGGACTCCTACTCAGTGACCACAGACAGCTAAAATGATTTCTTTGTTTCGCATTTGTAAAATGAAATATAATAGTAATCTTTGTTGTACAGGGTTTTTTAAAAGTAAGGATTGAATGAACTATTTCTATGCAAATACTGCCATGCTATACAGTTTTTGCAATGTATGCTATGTGAGTTATATTTGTGTGCATATTCTTTATATGGGCACATGATACAGCAAAAATATATGGTAATGCCTAACCCAGTACCAGCACGCAGTAGGTGCTAGATAAATTTTGCTTCCATCGTGATGTATTGAAGACTCTCGGATTACTAGGCCTGTGCCCAATGGGGAAAGCTGGCCACAAGCAGAGCTGCTAAAACAGTCAAGGAGATTATACTCTGGAATCTAGAAAGCCCAGTCACATTAGGCAGTTTAGCAAAGGGCTTTGGGCTTTGAAAGGTGATCTGAACTGAATTTGGAAGAAAGGGCTAAAGAAAACTGAGTTACTCTGCCTAACAGAGTGAGGAAGAATTTGGAAATTAAAAATAAAAAAAGTTTTGTTGGTGGGTGCTTTTGAGTTGGTTCTGGTTCATAGCACAAGAGAAGGAAACACTGCCTGGCCCCACGCCAACCTAGCAATTGTTTCTGTTTGAATCCACTACTGTTGCCATAGTACGATTCCTTTTTGTTGATGGTCTTCCACTTTTTTGCTGACCTTCCATTTATTTTGTCAAACATGATGTCCTTCTCCAGGTATTGGTCCTTCCTGACAATGTGTCCAAAGAATGAAAGATGAAATCTTGTCATTCTTGCTTCTAAGGAGGATTCTCGTTGTACTTCTCCCAAGACAAATTTGTTTGTTCTTTTGGCAGTCCGTGGTACTTTCATATGCTACCCTTGAAATGGTTAACATCATTAATTTCTTTTTGGTATAGTGACTCTGTGTATTCCTTCCATTTTCTTTTGATGCTTTCTGTATCAATTGATATTTTGCCCATAGAATCCTTCAATATTTCAAGTCAAGACTTAATTTTTTTCTTCAGTTCTTTCAACTTGAGAAATGCTGAGTGTTTTCTGGTTTTCTAACTCCAGGTGTTTGCACATTTCATTATAATACTTGATTTTGTCTTCTTGAATTGCCCTTTGAAATTTTCTGTTCATCTCTTGTATTTCATTTCTTCCATTTGTTTTAGCCATCTCTATGCTGGAAACTTCAGGGTCAGCAGTTTGAAACGAGGATTTATTTCGTGGGCAAAAGATGCGGCTTTGTGCTCCCATAAAGATTTACAGCCTCGGAAACCCTCACAGGGTCACTGTGAGTCGGAACTGACTCCACGGCATGTAACAACAACAACAACGCTGGAGAGCAAGTTTCAGAGTCTCTTCTGACATTCATATTTGGTCTTTTCCTTCTTTCTTGTCCTCTTAATGACTTTTTGTTTTCTTCCTGTGTGATGTTCTTGACGTTATCACACAACTCTTTTGGTCTTCATTCATTAGTGTATAAGATACCAGCTCTGTTCTTGAGACTCTCTAAATTCAGGTGGGATATCTTCAAGGTCATACTTTGGCTCTTGTGGGCTTATTTTAATTTTCTTCAGCTTCACTTTGAACTTACATATGAGCAATTGATGATCTGTTCCACAGTCTGCCCCTGGCCTTGTTTTGGCTGATGATATGGAGCTTTTCCACTGTCTCTTTCCACAGATTTCTATATATGCATATGTTGTTGTTAAGTGCTGTCAAGTGGGTACTAACTCATAGTGACCTTATGCGCAATAGAACAAAACACTGCCCAGTCCTGTGCCAACTTCACAAACCACAATGAGCCCATTGCTGCTGCCACTGTGCTGACCCATCTCATTGGGAGTCTTCCTCTTTTTCGCTGAAGCTCTACTTTACCAAGCATGATGTCCTTCTTCAGGAACTGGTCCCTTCTAACAACATGTCCAAAGTATGAGAGATGAGGTCTCACCACCCTAGCTTCTAAGAAGAATTCTGGCTGTACTTATTCCAACAGAAATTTATTTGTTCTTTTGAAGATCCACGGTACTTTCAATATTCTTCTTCACAACATAATTCAGATGCATCAATTTTTCTACTGTCTTCTTTGTTCATTGCCCAACATTCACATGCATATGAAGTTATTGAAAATACCATGGTTGTGTCGGGAGCACTTCAAACTCACATCTTTGCTCCTGAATATTTCAAAGAAATATTGTGCAGCAGATTTGCTTAATACAATATGTCATTGAATTTCTTGACTGGTGCTTCCACGAGTGTTGATGGTTGATCCCAGCAAAATTAAGTCTTTGACAACTTCAATCTTTTTTTCCATTTATTTTGATGCTATTTATTGGTTCAGTGGTGAGGATTTTTGTTTTCTTTACATTGAGGTGCAACCCTTTCTGAAGGTTTTGATCTTCATCAGTGAGTGTTTTAAATCCTCTTCACTTTCAGCAAGAGAGGCTGTACCATCTCTGTATCATAGGTTGTTCACAAGTTTTCTTTCAATCCTGATGTCATGTTCTTCTTCATATAATCTGATTTCTCAGATTATTTGCTCATCATGCAGATTGAATAGTATGGTGACAGAATACAACTCTGACAAACACCTTTCCTACTTTTAAACCATTCATTGTCCTCTTGTTTTGTTCCAATGACTTCTTGTTCTAAGTAGAGTTTCCTCATGAGCACAATTAAGTGTTCCGGAATACTCATTTGCTTCAATGTTGTCCGTAGCTTGTCATGATCCACACAATTGAAAGCTTTTGCATAATCAACAAAAGCACAGGTAAACATCTTTCTGATGTCCTCTGCTTTCAGACAAGATACATCTGATATGATATGCCTCATGTCACGTCTTCTTTTGAATCTGGCCTGAACCTCGGGCAGTTCCCTGTCAATGTGCTACTGCAGCTGTTTTTGGATTACCTTTAGCAAAATTTTACTTGCTTGCAATACTAATGATATTGTCCAATGATTTTTACATTCCATTGGATCACCTGTCTTAGGAATGGGCACAAATATGGATCTCGTCCAATCAGTTAAGCCAGGTAGCTCTCTTCCAAATTTCTTGGCATAGATGAGTGAGTCCCTGTAGTTTGTTGAAAGATTTCAATTTGAATTCTATCAATTCCTGGAGCCTTGTTCTTTGCCAATGCCTCAGTGCACCTTCAACTTCTTTCATCAGTATCATTTGCTCTTGATCATATGCTAGCTCTTGAAATGGTTGAACATTGACCATTTCTTTTTGATACAGTGACTCTGTATATTCATTCCATATTCTTTTAATGTTTCTGCATAATTCAATATTTTGCCCATGTTGTTGTTGTTAAGTGCTGTCGAGTCAGTTCCGACCCATAGCGACCCTGTACAGGGTTTC